TAGTCGGGCCTCACTTACGGCCGACTCATAACTGGTCCCTATTATGGCGTTCAGGTGGGGCTGGACTTCAATGCAGCGCCGGATGTATACCTTCACTAATGTCTCGCATTTAAGCTTTACTTTTAAAGTAAAATTAAATTAACATGGATGGGTTTAATTCTGTATTAGACTGACCTTGCCACTTTTTATTTGATCACTTAACACAACAGCCGGTTCCAAAAGTAGTGGGTCTGTAATGGGAGGTAAGTATTGCTGTTGTGATGGAAATCGGAGTCCAATTAAAACCGCAATAAAATCAGTGATTAACCGAAAAATATACCAAAGTTTTGATTTAATAAAGTCGTTTAACATGTTTTTAATTTAGTTTATTATAATTTGTGTTTACAATTATACAAACAGTTAGTTAAATATCTTATCTGATATATTTTAGGGCATGCTCAGTGCTTATAAAGGGATTAAAAAATTTTTTTCCAATTCCTTATTGCATTTATAAAGTATACGATATTATACAGTATAATATATTAATACTATATTTATTATTGAGAAATAAATAATTTAGTTAAACACAAATAGTAACTTAGATAAATCTTACAATTTAATACAAGTATTCTTTATTATAAATAAAATTTATCAGAATATTTACTGTCGGTATTTAATCTAGTAACATTATAAGAATAATTGTTTAATTCTGTATAAGTAGTATTTAAGTGTTTATGGTTTTTGGAATAGCAAAAACAAACAACTATTTCAAACACAAATACCAAGGTACTAAACCCAAAGAATACACTCATCACTACAAACATGTCTTTTATGAAACCCAATTCAATATCCTTAAGGGTTTCAGATTCACTGTTTTGTCCGCTATTTATATTATTAATGAAGACATTCTTGTATTCCTTAGACTTGGGATCCATTTTATCCATAACTTCCTTCAATTCGTTGAATCCCCAAAAAATTAAGTTATATTTCGATCTCTCAAAGCAATTATTATTAACTCCTGATTCCACAAGAATTTGAATTCTGTTCACATTTATTAGATTGTTCATTTTTTATTAGTTTAGAAAACTTTGTTAACATGATCGGTGTTATAGCTCCTGAAAGATTTGTTTTATTTGTATTGCATTCAATGTATAGCTTCTTAAACAAATGATACAACGCTTTCAGGGGCTACAACACAAATTAGGTTTATATAACTTTCTTTATATTAGTTTATATTAGTTAGAAATTACTAAAAAATATCAGGAAATACTAACATTTTGAACAGCTTTTGCCTCCTATCCACGCGATCACCACATTTACCCCAATTTTGGCACTTATTGATGGGGTGACCAAAATATGCGGGCATATACTTTTCATCAGCTATTTCTAACTTAAACTCTAAATTTGTTAATTTCTTCATCATTACACTCCACCCGTCCCTCGTGTACACCATACGGCGCTTTTCAACGTATCTTTTGAATAATGTCTAAAAAATAAATTTTTTAGTTAACGGAAGTCTTGTTTTTTAATTGTACACACCTTCATGTATGCCTTATCATAATCAACTACAAATTTGACCCTATTCGTATCGTATAATTTTTGTAGTTTTGGATCCATGTCCAAATTATATTGAAATTTACGATTATATTCGTACCATGCCATTGAACCATTAGGGACAATTAGACTCATGTTAGACTCAAGTAGTTGATCCAGTGAATTAATATATCTCCAATCTTGATTCACAACCGATGCTAGTATTCCGGCGCAAAAACACTGCGACAATACCAGTGCCGTCGATGACCATAGAGTGGTCAGAGGGTCTGGTTTTGTACTTTTGTTATTCAATGTCTCACTCACTAAATGTCTGATTGTGTCGAAAAATACTTTTATAAAATCCAAACTTTGATTACTAACTAGATTAAATTTTAAAAGTAAAATTAATAGCAAGCATCATCTTATAATATATATTGATTTACTGATAATTGAAAAATAATTCCGAAGTTTTTGCGAACAATATTCAAGTATTGCAATGGATAATATAGCTAGAAAAAGTAGCAGCCAGGTTACTAAAGTGTAGGTGTTCATCATTTTTAGCAGGTTGGGACTTTGAATGTATTTGCCACCAAGCAACACCATGTTGTACTCGTCCTTGAACCATTGTAAATTTGCTACCCGAAATATACTTTCCTCTATTGTCACTGTGTTTAGTCCAAAATCAGTGTCCTAGGTTAGATTTTGGTTAATTACACTGAAACATTAATTATTGTGCAATATAGACATTTACCTGGGTTTTAAAATTTTCATAAACATTATATTCCCCTACCACCTTTAACGTGACGTTAAACTTTGCAAACGTACCCTGGGCAATTGATCGTAATATTTGTTGCTCGAAATCGCAGATTTGCTGAAACATTATTTTTAGAAAAATATTTTTTATGTAAAATAATTTTTTTTTCATCAATTCAATATGATAAATTAGCTAAATATTATTTTATATAAAAATCTATTTTTAAAAATAATTCATACTGGGTTCTTTCGTATAATTATTAACGATTGATTACTAGTGGGATCACCTAAATAGGTATCACCAGTAGAGTAGGTGTGGCACCGGATTATGTCAAACCAAACCATTAGACTTTAAAAAATTTTATCTATAAAGTTGTTTTTGTTGTGAAATGTTGAAATGTTACAAAGTTATTTTTGTCGTATTGTAAAAATAATGAATTCAATTAAACTAATGGAAATTGATTTAAATTTGAATAATACTAGTACTTATCAACAAATATTATAAATAAATTAGTTATTATGTAACATTGATAAGTACAATTAATGTTACTTAAAAAATAACAATTAATTATAATGTTTTGAAAAATCTTAATAAATAATAACTTTCATGCATTGTAAATAAATCATAATTATCTATGTGTAAAATATAATACACATTTTATTTAAATATTCATTTATCCGTAGCTAATAAACAATTACTTATATTTTTATCATTTAAGAAATAATTAACTAAATAGGCAATATAATATGAATAAAATTAGCATTTATTAATAACAATTAGAAAAATACTTTTAATAAACTAAAAAACAAAAATGATAATTTATTGATTAATTTTTTTAATTTAATTAATTATTATGTATATTTTAAATCTAGTGAGATGAAATTTAATAAGTTATATGTTAATTAATTAATATTGTTTGTAAAATAAATAATTAATATCTCAAAAACAAATATAAATGTTTTATAACTTACTACGAACCTACTACGGTAAACACCTTGAACAAATCTGTAATAAATAAAGCATCCAAATCCAGTTATTTAACTATTTGTTTCGATATCGGAGAACTTCATGAGATTAAGTATGCATACGAATCATATAATAAGGGTCATTTTAGGAGACTTTTATTTCACCTATAAATAACTATTTGATGGGTTCGTAACTATTTTAATTATTTTAGATTTTTATGCATAATTAGGGCTAAAATGGTAAAATTTAAGACAATTTTTATAAAAATAATTATTTTAATGAATAAAACAAACTATAAAATTAATTGATTTATATTTCATATAAATACAAAATATACTGTAATTCTACAAATATACTAAAAGCATAAAATTCCTTAGTTTTTAAGAAATCAAATTTGAATTTTGTCTGTTTAGTGACTAAAATATGGTTATATTTACGAGTTAATTGATGAATATAGTTAATTAGTTGTCAAAATTAAATATACTAAAAGCATAAAATTCCTTAGTTTTTAAGAAATCAAATTTGAATTTTGCCTGTTTAGTGACTAAAATATGGTTATATTTACGAGTTAATTGATGAATATAGTTAATTAGTTGTCAAAATTCATAAATAATGCAAACTATTTGTCATTATATTCAATTATAAAGGGATTTTACCTAAAACTTTAGAAAAATAAATAACTATTTAACTAACTATTTGACCACTTTTTTTTAACTTTGATAGTGACTATAAAGGCCATTTTTACCACCTAGATTTGGATGCTTTAGTAATAAACTTTAATTACACTTTCCGTACCCCTGTTCTGATCGCCATTTATATCATTAATGAAAAACTTTTTATATTCCTTAGACTTGAGATCAATTTGATTCAATAGTTGATCTAGTTCACTGATTCCCCATAAAATAGCACAATATTCTGACAATTATTATTAATCCCTTATTCTACCAGAATTTGACTGATAAATAACAATCCATGAAAATAAGAAAGCCTTATATGAGCTCTGATTGACATAATAGTGAGAATAACTACAGTATAGTTAAGTACAATATAACTGTAGGAAGGTTCTGGATACTGTACGTGAGAATGAGGTACAGGTGCTGATGACTGGACAGAGTATAGTCAAGAATAGGAACTATGAACTGTCAATCACCTTTCCTTTGATCCTTGACAGGACCTTCAAATACTTGAATGTCAATGTGAAATACTTGATCCTGGTCACACTATGTATAAGGCGTATTTAAGTGTTGATGGTTTTTGGAATAGCAAAAACAAACAACTATTTCAAACACAAATACCAAGGTAATAAGCCCAAAGAATACACTCATTACTACAAACATGTCTTTTATGAAACCCAATTCAATATCCTTAAGGGTTTCAGATTCACTGTTTTGTCCGCTGTTTATATTATTAATGAAGAAATTCTTGTATTCCTTAGACTTGGGATCCATTTTATTCATAACTTTTGCCAATTCACTGAATCCCCAAAAAATTATGCTATATTTCGATCTCTGAACACAATTATTATTAACTCCCGATTCCACAAGAATTTGAATTCTGCTCACATTTATCAGATAATTTTTATTAGTATAATATGTTAGGAATTAGTAGAAAATGTCAATAAATACTTACATTTTGAACAGCGTTTGTCTCCTATCCATGCGATCACCGCATTTACGCCCATCCGGGCACTTATTGACAGGAATGCCAAAAAGTGCGGGCATATACATCTCATCACCAATTTCTAACTTCATCTCTAAATTTGTCAATTTCTTGATGAATACACTCCACAAGTCTCTCGTGTAAACCGAACGACGCTTTTCTACTGAATTCCTAAATAATTTCTAAAAAATAAGTTATCTAGTTAATTGTTAGCA